CAGCCCTGAGCGAGCAAACGGGACCAAAATGGGAATTAATACATTGCAAAGCTGACAATTGAGGGCGAATCCTGGCGCATCAACAGCTTTGGGTTATTTGATACTGGGAACAGAAATGCTATTCAAGAATGCAACGATGCATCGGGATAAAAGCCAATTTTGGGGTGCATCTATACTGTAGAATGAATGCAGCCATGGACATTACATCCTGGGAGATGTAGTTTTACTGACAATTAGGCCTGGGGGCCCAGCAAACTGCTACTTCCAGGACTCCAGAGCACTGAGCCTTGGCAGTTGATGTCCTGAATAGGAACTGTAATGCCCAGGAGGCGAACTGCAATGGCCAGGTGAACTATAATGCCCAGAACATTTATATATTTATTTATTTGCAGTATTTATATTCTGCCCTTCTCACCCCCCAGGGCAAGAAAAATGTATAATATCACAAAGGACTACTACCTCACCCGCCTCATAGGAAACCTGCTACAAAACAGGAGCTTTTTTGTTGAGTTCCAGGGCCAGAGAAGCAGATGGCGGAAACAGAAGAACGGCCTGCCTCAGGGGAGCGTGCTTGCTCCATCCATGTTCAACATCTACACAAATGACCAGCCACTGCCAGAAGGGACAGAGAGCTTCATCTATGCTGATGATCGTGCCATCACCACTCAAGCAGGGAGCTTTGAGACTGTAGAACAGAAGCTCTCCGAAGCTCTAGGTGCTCTTACTGCCTATTACAGGGAAAACCAGCTGATCCCTAATCCATCTAAAACATAGACATGTGCCTTTCATCTCAAGAACAGAGAAGCATCCCGAGCTCTGAGGATCACCTGGGAAGGAATCCCACTGGAGCATTGCAGCGCACCCAAATACCTGGGAGTCACTCTGGACCGTGCTCTTACCTACAAGAAGCACTGCCTGAACATCAAGCAAAAAGTGGGTGCTAGAAACAATATCATACGAAAGATGACTGGCACAACCTGGGGATCACAACCAGATACAGTGAAGACATCTGCCCTTGCGCTGTGCTACTCTGCTGCTGAGTATGCATGCCCAGTGTGGAACACATCTCACCACACTAAAACAGTGGATGTGGCTCTTAATGAGACATGCCGCATTATCACGGGGTGTCTGCGCCCTACACCACTGGAGAAATTACACTGCTTAGCCGGTATTGCACCACCTGACATCCGCCGGGAAGGAGCAGCCAATAGTGAAAGGACCAAGGCAGAGACATCTCCAGCTCATCCCCTGTTTGGGTATCAGCCAGCATGCCAACGACTTAAATCTAGACATAGTTTTCTAAGATCTACAGAGACCCTCGCTGGAACACCCCAGCAGGCGAGAGTCCAAAAGTGGCAGGCTCAAGCCCAGCACCTCAACCAATGGCTGATACCAAATGGGAGACTCCCTCCTGGGCACACAGAAGACTGGGCGACTTGGAAGGCATTGAACAGACTGCGCTCTGGCACCACGAGATGCAGAGCCAACCTTCAGAAATGGGGCTACAAAGTAGAATCCTCGACATGCGAATGTGGAGAAGAACAAACCACTGACCACCTGCTGCAATGCAAGCTGAGCCCTGCCACAGGCACAATGGAGGACCTTCTTGCAGCAACACCGGATGCACTCCAAGTGGCCAGATACTGGTCAAAGGACATTTAACCAACTACCAAACTCACAAGTTGTGTATTTTTCTGTTTGTTTGCTTTGTTCTGTTAGACTGGTTGTTCTGACACGACAAATAAAACCCCCCCAGGGCAGATCACAATGTACACATACATGGCAAACATTCAATGCCATTGTTGTGGCTCAGTCTGAGCCTGAGTCTGAGACTGTCTGGGCCTGTTGGGCCTTCTGAGCCTGACTTTCTTCAGGATGACGACAAGGAGGATGGGTTACAGATTTCTGAACATGTTGCAGTTAGTGAGACAGATAGGGCTGATAGTGTGGCTTCTGAAGAAGAAACAGCAATTCTGTTCCCCAGAGAAAGGAATGTGCCTTTAGATCAAGATAGTGAAACTCCACAACTGCAGGTGGAGACTCCTTTTGGTTCCCAGGGTGATCAGGCCCAGCTGGACCAAGATAATGAGTTGTCCGGCCTTGAAGATAATAGTGAATTAATTAGTAGACAGGATCCTCTACAATTAAGAGTTCGCAGAAGCACACGGCTTGCCAGCAAGCGTGAAGCTAAAGGTCAACGCAATGCTTTCATGTCAGGGAAACTTATTTAATGATGTAGTCGACAAGCATTCTCTGTCAGTCCAATGTTGCTTTTACCCTGTTAACATATCTTATTTGTAGGGCAAAAATGCTTAAAAATAATTAAAATGAAGAACAATTTTAACAAATATAAACTTATTAGTATTTCAGTGGGAAGTATGGGCCTGCTATTGACTGACGAGATAGTTGTTGTTGTGTGTGCTTTCACGTCGTTTCAGACTTAGGTTGACCCTGAGCGAGGGCTGGGTAAATGACCTTGGAGGGCCGTATTCGGCCCTCGGGCCGTAGTTGAGGACCCCTGCTCTAGAACATGGCCATATAGCCCGAAAAAACCTACAACAACCCAGTGATTCCGGCCATGAAAGCCTTCAACAATACATAAGATTGTTGTTATTGTTGTTGTTGTTGTTGTTGTTGTGTGCTTTCAAGTTATTTCAGACTTAAGTTGACCCTGAGCGAGGGCATGGTAAATGACCTTGGAGGGCCGTATTCGGGTTGTTGTTGTTGTTGTTGTTGTGTGCTTTCAAGCTATTTCAGACTTAGGTTGACCCTGAGCGAGGGCTGGGTAAATGACCTTGGAGGGCCGTATTCAGCCCACGGGCCGTAGTTTGAGGACCCCTGCTCTAGAACATGGCCATATAGCCCGAAAAATCCTACAACAACCCAGTGATTCCGGCCATGAAAGCCTTCAACAAGACCTCACAACCTCTGAGGATGCCTGCCATAGATGCAGGCGAAACGTCAGGAGCGAATGCTTCTGGAATGTGGCCAGACAGCCTGGAAAACTCTCAACAACCCAGTGATTCTGGCCATGAAAGCCTTCAACAAGACCTCACAACCTCTGAGGATGCCTGCCATAGATGCAGGCGAAACGTCAGGAGAGAATGCTTCTGGAACGTGGCCAGACAGCCTGGAAAACTCACAACAACCCAGTGATTCCGGCCATGAAAGCCTTCGACATGACCTCACAACCTCTGAGGATGCCTGCCATAGATGGAGGCGAAACGTCAGGAGATAATGCTTCTAGAACGTGGCCAGACAGGCTGGAAAACTCACAACAACCCAGTGATTCCGGCCATGAAAGCCTTCAACAATACATAGGGTTGTTTTTGTTGTTGTTGTTGTTGTTGTTGTGTGCTTTCAAGTTATTTCAGACTTAGGTTGACCCTGAGCGAGGGCCGGGTAAATGACCTTAGAGGGCTGTATTCAGCCCTCGGGCCGTAGTTTGAGGACCCCTGCTCTAGACAATGGCCATATAGCCCGAAAAAACCTACAACAACCCAGTGATTCCGGCCATGAAAGCCTTCAACAATACATAGGGTTGTTGTTGTTCTTGTTGTTGTTGTGTGTTTTCAAGTTATTTCAGACTTAGGTTGATCCTGAGCGAGGGCTGGGTAAATGACCTTGGAGGGCCGTATTCGGCCCTCGGGCCGTAGTTTGCGGACCCCTGCTCTAGAACATGGCCATATTGCTTTAGGTTGTGCTTTAGGTTGTGTATTGTTATGTTGTGTTTTGAGGCCTTGGCCTTTGTAAGCCGCATCGAGTCCTGCGGGAGATGTTAGCGGGGTACAAATAAAGTTAATAATAATAATAATAGCCCGAAAAATCCTACAACAACCCAGTGATTCCGGCCATGAAAGCCATCAACAAGACCTCACAACCTCTGAGGATGCCTGCCATAGATGCAGGCAAAACGTCAGGAGAGAATGCTTCTGGAACGTGGCCAGACAGCCTGGAAAACTCACAACAACCCAGTGATTCCGGCCATGAAAGCCTTCGACAAGACCTCACAACCTCTGAGGATGCCTGCCGTAGATGGAGGGGAAACGTCAGGAGAGAATGCTTCTGGAACGTTGCCAGACAGCCTGGAAAACTCTCAACAACCCAGTGATTCCGGCCATGAAAGCCTTCGACAAGACTTCACAACCTCTGCGGATGCCTGCCGTAGATGCAGGCGAAACGTCAGGAGAGAATGCTTCTGGAACGTGGCCAGACAGCCTGGAAAACACTCAACAACCCAGTGATTCTGGCCACGAAAGCCTTCGACAAGACCTCACAACCTCTGAGGATGCCTGCCGTAGATGGAGGGGAAACGTCAGGAGGGAATGCTTCTGGAACGTGGCCAGACAGCCTGGAAAACTCTCAACAACCCAGTGATTCCGGCCATGAAAGCCTTCGACAAGACCTCACAATCTCTGAGGATGCCTGCCGTAGATGGAGGGGAAACGTCAGGAGAGAATGCTTCTGCAACGTGGCCATATAGCCCGAAAAAACCTACAACAACCCAGTGATTCCGGCCATGAAAGCCTTCAACAATACATAGGGTTGTTATTGTTGTTGTTGTGTGCTTTCAAGTTATTTAGGTTGACCCTGAGCGAGGGCCGGGTAAATGACCTTGGAGGGCCGTATTCAGCCCTTGGGCCATAGTTTGGGGACCCCTGCTCTAGAACATGGCCATATAGCCCGAAAAATCCTACAACAACACAGTGATTCCGGCCATGAAAGCCTTCGACAAGACCTCACAACCTCTGAGGATGCCTGCCATAGATGGAGGCGAAACGTCAGGAGAGAATGCTTCTGGAGCTTGTCCATGCAGCCCGGAAAACTCACAACAACCCAGTGATTCTGGCCATGAGAGCCTTTGAAAACACACTGAAGTGTGAACTGCTTCCAAGAAACCTCTGGAGCATTGCTTGCTGGACTACTTCCATGCATTCCTTCTGGACCGCCCCTGCATACGCTTTGCAGCAGGACCCAGGCTGCCTTTTCCCTTACCTTCCGAAGTGATTCCGGCATTATTTCGGCGCCATTTCCCACCTCCTTCGGGGGTGATCCCGCGCGGCCCCTTTTCCTTCCAGGATGGGCTTCCTCCGCTTCCAGAAGAGAGACGGCGCCAAGGGCGGAAGGCTTCCCCGAAAGCGGCGCCGGAGGCTGAAGTGGGCTGCAAAATCAAGGCAGGCGTCTTAGTGCCAAATTGCCCTTCCATCGGCTCGCAGATCCAGTTCAATTAAATTAATGCGATCAACTCCAATGCCTCCCACAGCTTCTGTCACCACATAGAAACACTGCAGCTGTCAAAGGAAAAGGCAGCCGTCGTGGAGGAATACGTGGGAGTGGAAATCAACATGCTATATTAGAGAAAAGGATGTTTGGGAGCGTTCAAAGGATAATCCAGGACGGATCTACACTAGTATTAACCCGGTTTGACTCCACTTTAATAGTATTAGTAGTTTAAGATCTGCCGGGGAGGCCCTGCTCTCGGTCCCACCAACTGGTGGGGACGAGGGACAGGGCCTTCTCGGTGGTGACCTCCCACCTGTGGAATTCACTTCCTAGCTAAATTAGATCAGTGCCCTCCCTCCTTTCTTTCAGAGGAAAACTGAAGATGTGGTTGTGGAATCAAGCTTTCGGCTAATGGATATAACGAGTTCAAAGGACAATCCAGGATGGATCTACACTGTAGTATTAACCCAGTTTAATTTCACTTTAATGATAATATTAGTTTAAGATCTGCCGGGGAGGCCCTGCTCTCGGTCCCACCAACTGGTGAGAACGAGGGACAGGACCTTCTTGGTGGCGGCCCCCCGACTGTGGAATTCACTCCCCGGTGAAATTAGATCAATGCCCTCCCTCCTTTCTTTCAGACGTGGTTGTGGAATCATGCTTTTGGCTAATGGATACGAGTTCAAAGGACAATCCAGGATGGATCTACACTGTAATATTAACCCAGTTTAATTCCACTTTAATGATATTAGTAGTTTAAGATATGCCAGGGAGGTCCTGTTCTTGATCTCACCATCTGGTGGGGACGAGGGACAGGACCTTCTTGGTGGCGGCCCCCCAATTGTGCAATTCGCTCCCCAGCGAAATTAGATCAATGCCCTCCCTCCTTTCTTTCAGACGTGGTTGTGGAATCAGGCTTTTGGCTAATGGATAGAACGAGTTCAAAGGATAATCCAGGATGGATCTATGCTGTAGTATTAACCCAGTTTAACTCCACTTTAATGATATTAGTAGTTTAAGATGTACTGTGGAGGCCCTGCTCTCGGTCCCACCAACTGGTGGAGATGAGAGGCAGGGCCTTCTCGGTGGTGACCCCCCCGCCTATGCAATTCGTTCCCCTGCGAAATTAGATCAATGCCCTCCCTCCTTTCTTTCAGACGTGGTTGTGGAATCAGGCTTTTGGCTAATGGATACAACGAGTTCAAAGGACAATCCAGGATGGATCTACACTGTAGTATTAACCCAGTTTGACTCCACTTTAATGATATTAGTAGTTTAAGATCTGCTGGGCAGGCCCTGCTCTCGGTCCCACCAATTGGTGGGGACAAGGGACAGGGCCTTCTCGGTGGTGACCCCCTGCCTGTGGAATTCACTCCCCAGTGAAATTAGATCCGCAACCACGTCTTCAGTTTTCCTCTGAAAGAAAGGAGGTTGTGGAATCAGGCTTTTGGCTAGTGGATACAATGAGTTCAAAGGACAATCCAGGATGGATCTACATTGTAGTATTAACCCAGTTTGACTCCACTTTAATGATATTAGTAGTTTAAGATCTGCCAGGGAGGCCCTGCTCTCGGTCCCACCAACTTCGCAAACATGGCTGGTGGGGACGAGGGACAGGGCCTTCTCAGTGGTGGTGGAACCAGGCTTTTGGCTAATAGATATAACGAGTTCAAAGGACAATCCAGGATGGATCTACACTGTAGTTTAACTCCACTTTAATGATATTAGTAGTTTAAGATCTGCCAGGGAGGCCCTGCTCTCGGTCCCACCAACTGGTGAGGACGAGGGACAGGGCCTTCTTGGTGGTGATGCCCTCGCCTATGGAATTTGCTCCCCAGCGAAATTAGATCAGTACCCTCCCTCCTTTCTTTTAGAGGAAAACTGAAGACGTGGTTGTGGAATCAGGCTTTCAGCTAATGGATACGAGTTCAAAGGATAATCCAGGATGGATGTACACTGTAGTATTAACCCAGTTTAACTCCACTTTAATGATATTATTAGTTTAAGATCTGCCGGGGAGGCCCTGCTCTCAGTCCCACCAACTGGTGGAGATGAGGGACAGGGCCTTCTCGGTGGTGACCCCCCGCCTGTGGAATTCACTCCCCAGCGAAATTAGATCCACAACCACGTCTTCAGTTTTCCTCTGAAAGAAAGGAGTTCTTGACATTTGGGAGTTGTAGTTTCTGGGATTTATAGTTCACCTACCATCAAAGAGCATTCTGAACTCCACCAATGATGGAATTGAACCAAACATG